GAAAACCGCAGACTACATACGGCGGACTTTTTGAGTTGCTTTAAGCGCGACAAGGCAGAGTTTCCGACCATTTTGCTTGCTTTATCAGAACTCCGCTAATTAATTCCGGAGTGCATGGATTAGACTTTCTCTCATGAGTGTTGGAACCTTGCACGCGCTCTTCGACTGCTTGGATATCGAAGTTGATAATGCTCAACCATTACGAGTTTTATGCTTAGCAACGGAAATCTGATATCTCGGAATTCTTGATTTCACGGAAAAGACAACATTTTTACATTTTTTATTTTACATTATAAAATTCTACATAAGAACAAAAAATATATCAATTCAAACTGTCCTTTGTATATTAATTTTAAATTGAAAACTTAATTCATTCCACGATGAGAGATATCTATATGGTAATAAAAATTCTTAGTAAGAGTAAAAAAATTGTTTAATGTTATAAGAAAATATTAAAAAATTTTTTTATAATAATCGTTAATAATTAATAGTTGTCAAGCAACTGATGTTAATAATTGCGAATGATTATCGAGCGGAAATTTTCGCAAGCTAAACTACGGGAGGACTCCTCCGAGTTCGACTATTCGTCTATTCAATTTTCCTGGATTTGCATTTTGTTTCGACGCACGACGTGCTCCCCGGCGTTTTACGACGTAGAGAAGGTATTTACGAAAATTACTCGACTATAGCGCGTTCGCCCATTATCTTTTAATGCAGGCTTGCACACAGGACGCCGTAATTTTCAGGAATTAAAATTCCCGAGAGTAACGGATATGCGCGAGTAAACTGACTACGAGCGACGAAACTTTTTCACATGTGCGACACGTGCAACTTGCAAAATACGAATAAGCAAATAAATACAGTGACACAATAATAATAATAATAATAAAAGTGATAGAATCTCAGATTCAGTCAGATAATTAATTTTAGAATTATTATTTAAAATATAATGTTTATAATATATATGGAATATCTAGTTCATGTATGTGTTATATTCGAAATATAAGCGATATGTGAGAAAGATTACTATTAAGAAAAATGTATAAAATATTTGTCACGATATTGCCATCGGAGGTACGTGATGTTTTACCAAATATTTTTGTTTTTATTACTACCTATATGGAAATAGAAACGGTTCAATAATCAATCATATTAAATTTGTTGTTTTGAATTTTATGTTTTCATTGTGTCAGAAATTTGTAATTAGCAGCATGAGAGAATTTTTAAAAATCAATTAACGCGTTTAATATCATATTCAGGTTGAGAGTAAATTAATTTTTGTCTCAAAATCTCTTAATTATTTATCATTTATCATGCACGATGTTGTTCTGCATTACGAGAGGAGCGTATAAAAATATACCAAATACCGTATATATGAACGTTGCTGTTCTCATAAACTTGGTGGCCCTGCTGCGAGCATGACCATCCATCCAGTAAACTTTCCACGAGTTGTACTTTGTTTTATCAAGCGGCAGTTGGCGCTACGGGCATTTTATGATGTCAGGACCTTTATAATGTCTTAATGTTTGGCTACGTTCAGGTTTCTGCGCGAGAACCGTGGCTATATTATATCAAGATAAACAATTTCCCGGAGCGAACATCCTAAACCATTTCTCGCGCTCTCGTGCTCACGAAGCTTTTTTTTCTATCCATTCTCACTAGCGCATATGTTTCGCGAGATCATATTTACTCGGTGTAAAATTATAAATCTCTTTTTCTACCGCATGCTGCACGGGGGACATGGCTTTAGTTGAAAACTCCGCTTTTCGTAGGTATAATGTATATCTCTTTTAGAAGCTTACTATATGTTCAAAATAAGTTAATACAAGCACATACACGTTTGCATGTAAAAAAAAAATAGCTTACAGCCATCAGATTCTTGTTGTTTAATTATCATAAAAATTATACAAATATTAAATTACTGTACAAAAGGAGGAAAATATATTGTACAAATTATCGCATAAAAAAGGAAAATGCAAATATTGTACATAAAAGCAGTTATTTAAAAAGTTATTTTTATGTAAATACACGCTTAAAAATGTTCGCGCGTTGCAGCAAAAGCAGATTTGATATTTCGCGAAATTTCGCTACCTGCAACGCGCGCTGGATGTACCAACGTAAACTGTTCGCTTGTCACCCATAGAACCCCGCCAACTGTAATCAGGGATATTTACGCGTAATTCTCCAAGGGAAATATCCGCGGTAATACGGTTTTTGACGCTGAATGTCGCAATTAGACACGCGTGACGACGAACTTGGTGAACAGCATCAAGGAAGGTCGCGGCGCGGTATTATATCACAAACGCTACGCGAGAATTGAGCCACACAACACGGCGTATGCCTGGGACGTGTGCGGGCATACACGGCATATGTTATATCCGTGTCGGACGTTATGCGACCGCGGCTCTTTGTGACGCGGCCTGGCTGAGGTTACACGCAGCGATTGAATAAATATTCATTAGCGTAATTAGCATGCGTGCGTGACGTGCTATCCGGTAGAATGCTTTTACGCCTTTAATTGCCGCCCGTGTGTCCGCGGGCGCGACTCTTTCTCGTAGCTGCTCTGTAATTTGTAATGACAGGCCGTGTACACAACTCGTTGTATAGGGGTTATTGGGTAAAAAGCTCAGGAAAAGATAAAAATGATATTGCTCTCGAATTCAAATTTTATTATTCCCTAATGAATATTCCGCTCGCCTTTCTTCAAATAAAACTTTGATACTATTATGCATATCATATTTCATCAAAGGGAAATTTAATGAAAATACTCTGTTAATTATTCCATGATATATCTCATAATTTATGATCATAATTAGTTTCCTAAATAATAATGTATTTTCAACGAGATAAATAAATTTTTTTTACATAAAAATATGTACGTCTTATTAATATGTTATTTAAGATTAGGTATATCCCAATAACTGCAATTTTATTGTTATCTGTCAGATCGCGAAAATGTAACGGAAATGGTAAGATTCTTAAAACGCGCGAATTAATGAATGACTGCAAATAAACAAATTAACAATCATCGAGTTTACTCACTTGAGATGATGTCTATCGCTACCGTAAATCCGTCCAAGCTTCACATTCACCCACTCGCGGATAATAAATTGAAATTTTGATCAATTATTAATTCACATGTTAATGATTAATCGTCCGAGATTTTATTCGGCACTCTCAACGCGATTTTTATTTACACGTAACACTTCGCTCCTTTTAATAATTATTTATTCCCGTCATATCTTACCGACAATGCAAATATTATACAAAATGTTGAAGCAGCCGCCAAAATAAGAAACAATATCATAATAAAAATATTATAGCCGTAACAAGATTTACTTCATATTCACATTAGCAATTATACCTATACTGTATAATACAAAAGTCTATTATCTTTATCTTTATATCTTGATACTATTGTACATGTAACTATGATATCACTGATAACTTAATCTACGATTACGAAATTTATATTACTGAAATAAATATTGTAATCGTAATTATCCTCGTACGCATAATCAATCTAAGTATAAAAAATCCAAAATGCAAGTGATACTACGATCGCGCGGAGTTCATATAACAGAACTATCACACTAAACGATAAATTATATCAAGCATAATATGTCGGTTGATATTTCTGATACTACACGCTTATATCTTTATATGATATTTAGTATCAATAACTTTTATAGGTTACAATAAGCCGTTATCTCGTCAACAATCGGCCGTTATCTAATCTTTAAGTCTTAAGCTCTAAGTTTTAAGTAAGAAAGTAATCAATCCATATTCTTCCGATATTCGACTGATCAATTTCTTACAGCTTAAGATTTAAAGCTTACGTAACAGCTTATTGAAATTATTAGAAAACCTATTAAGATCTTAATTCATTTAAATGAATCATATAAAGCTATGAAATGAATGATTTTGTTGAAATATCCAAAAATTTAAATAAATACAGATTTGGAAATAATTTTATTGAAAATAATTACGCAGGAAACTCAAGTATAATAAGCAATTAACATTATAAATAAATTTTATAATTATTTTATTTTATTATTACTGATAGTCCAATAAAATTATTTTTAGATCTGTATTTGACTAATCTTTAGATATTTCATACTGGAAAAAGAATCTAGTTACAACCAATAAATATTAAGTGAAATAATTTCAACTAAATATTGATAATATAAATAAACATAATTTTATCTAGTAATATAAATATTTAGTAAGTATTAAACGGTACCAACAGTAATACTTACTAAATATTTGTAAAGATAAAATTATGTTTGATTGTACTACCTCAACATTTAGTTGAAATTATTTTACTCAATATTTGATAGCTATAACCAGACACTTTTTTCAGTACAGCTAAAACTGTTTCTTTCGTACACAACTTTCATACCGTGATATGATTAAAGCGTAGCGCACATTACTCATGGCATCAATCTCGAAAATCCGCTGTCTTCTTTCCCTTTTAAATCCGTGTTCTGATACCATAAATAATTTATCGACAAACACGAAAGGTATCTTTATTGTTGGTTCTGTTGCGTCATTGATTCCGCAGTTTTAATTCATAACTACATAAATATGATAAGTCAAGTATGACTATTTCATGTGTCAATTGAGTATTATTTCCGTTACATGTGATATTCACGTATACATTAAATATAACGTGAATATCACATAATCATCGTCATCACCAGTCATTATTAAACGACGGATATTAATAGATTATTAATAGACACGATGCAATATTGGTCAGATAACTGACCCGTCGCTCCCGATATTCGTTTGCGAGAATAACGCATTCATGTGACCAACCAATGAAAGATGCGTGGAATTTCAACTAATTTTTGCGATAGATACTAAGGCGCGAGACAATACTAAGCGAAATATTGTTTTAATAAAGAAGAATGTACGAGAGAATTTTCGGAAAAGAAGCGAGCTCGGTCACATTGTTTATGTTATTATAAAAATAACGTAAATGATATCGTACGTACGATTAATCCGTTTAAACGCGAAAATCATCAGTATGGTGATTTTTTGATATTCCTTTGTGGCAATTCTGAAACAGAAAAAGCGCAGTTTGATGGAAAAATGATGGATGTCCACAAAAGCGATATATACGCTTGGCATTTATTGTATTTTTCAATAAATCTGACAATATTTTAAATGCAATAAACACATTAAAATGCAACGTTTTGTGCGAGATAATCGCAACGTGACGCGGCAATTTTCATCTAGAGATTATCATGTATTAGTTATTGTTTCTCGCGTACGCAAATTGAAGCGGTATTAACCTTATCGTATTCAAAATATATTACTCGAAATTCCCTAATATCATTGTATCGCGAATAAAAAATTAGAAATTTTAATCGTTTAAGTTTATACAGTGAGTGCAAAAAATATTCACACAAAAAAAATAGCTTTAAAAAGAATTTACTTTTAAAAAGTAAACATTAATTGGTAATTTTTTAACAAAGAATAAAATAAATTGTACATTTCGTAAAATTCTTTTACCTAAGAATATGTGTGTGTGCGTGTAATAATTAAAATATTCTAAAATTAATATAATAAGTATAAGGCTACGAGAGCCAAGCCGGTCTTAATGCTGTGTTGAAAAAAACATAAGTTTATTACAACAATTGTATCAAGTTTAACATTGAGAGAATGACTCAATTGGGATTGAAACGTTTGTTGTAATAAACTTATGTTTTTTTAATAACATAGCATTAATTGTAAGACCTGGCTTGGCTCGTAGCCCTACACTTATTATTAATTTTATAAATTATTTGAGTCTTTTTTTGTCATATTAAAATATATTATTTTAAAATAATAGAATAGAAAACCATATTTGAGTGCACAAAAAGTATTCATATAGCCGAATTTAGCTTTCAAAATAAAAAATACGAGAAGTTCTTTTATTTATATTAAAATAACATGTATAGTGATATAAAATTATTAATTAATGTTTATTTTCTACATCTTTCTATATACTTAAGACTGTTTTTATAAAAATTTCCCTGTACGAATACATTTTGTGCGAATTAACACGTAAAAATATATTTAATATAATAACAAAATTTTTTTACATTAAAATTTTCGTTAAACTAAACTTTTTGGACTTTGCATCTAATTTTCTATATTGTCTAAATATCAACTATATGTCTCTCTCTCTCTCTCTCTCGAAAAATAAAAAATGTAAACACTTAAATCTGCATACAAATACTTGAAACAAAGTTTTGAAAGAATAATATTAAAAATTAGATTACTTAAATATATTTTGATATCAATATATTTGTATTAACTTTCCAGTTAGCGCACCGTGAGGTTTTTATATATATAAAAACGTAGCGAAATGATCTTCTCACAAAGTTCGTGCGAATATCGCGTTTCAGCATTGCAGATCTCTGAAATTCCCGTAAATTTAATGATAGTACTCTAACGCAACTAAATATCAACACGTCAACTATCCCGCGAGTGATCCGATGGTAGCGGATAGCTTAAAGCGACACTATCGATACTATTGAATACACGCGTGTGTTAGTCTTTTTGACTGATTCGAAATGCAACGCGGGTCAAATAAGATCGGCCGTACGCACACCGCTCACACACATGATCGGTAATCAATAGCCTTGTAGCTGCCTCTGTACAGTAGTCGCATCCGTGTGCCGGAGATAGCTCCGAGCTACACGCGTATAATGGCAGACCTTCTATCACCAAATCGATCCCGATCGGATTTATTCCGAGCATTGTCTCGAGGCACACCATGCGCGCGCGTATGGCTTTATAAAAAGAATAGCTTGCAGCGTTCCATTTTCCACGTATTTTTGACGTCGTTTCTGTCTCCTTCGCGTTCGAGTTTACTATTGCAGGAGAGGAAAGGTAGGGGTATTCCGCTATGAGAAAGAACGGAGGTGAATTTTGTAAAAATGCGCGACACGGTCCGACCGTTGTCATTTAATTTCCTGTGGAACGCTTACATGCTGAGAAGCACTTACATAAAGCCGTGTATATCCAAGATACTGATTGAACTTGATGCTCCTTTATTCACATAATTTTGTAAAAAAATTGTTAAATATATTGCATATATAAAAATATTGTTTGACATGTACAAAGGCAGAGTATAATGTTACTGAGCATCGATATAACTGTTTCGAGTCTATGTAAACGAATATTAATTGTGCGATGCTCTACACGAATATATATATATATCAAGTGGTGTATAGATTATATTTCATGGTATTGATTGGTATCTGCCAAACCCTTTTGAAGCGGCGCCTCAACCTCTGTAACAATACCCTTGTGAAAAGATGTTATTTATTTTTCATTTTTCACGCTCTCTTGCCGTCAGATTTTTCCGATCCGCTAGGTACCTCTGCCTCTGTTTATATTTTTATCTTCTAGAAGAGAGAGAGAGAGAGAGAGAGAGAGAGAGAGAGAGAGGGAGGGGTAGGGCAGGCAAGCCGAAACATATAATCGATAGAAATATGTGGATGTTACGGTGAAACGAGTTTTTATGCCGTTCCAGATCAGTATTCTGTCTATTTGGTATTTTCTCGTAAAAAATCTATCAAAAAGTAGCAATTAACGGAAATTAATAAATTGTAATCTCGATTTTGTCGGAAAAATTACACAATTCTTTTATATTTTTCACTCAAATTCTCAATAATGGCGAGTAAGCTTTGTGAAAAATCATGCAAAAAAACATACAAAGTGTAAGCTTACACTTTTTCATCAATCTACAGGCATTAATCATCCCGTTTGTTTCGATGTGTTACCACTTGATAATTGACAGTTTTCACTTCGTGCAAACGTGATTCGAAATTCAACAAGCGTCGAAATAATTATATAATTTCATTACACGTTTGCGAGCCATAAATCATAAACCGGAAAACTCGGAATAAGAGAGAGAGAGAGAGATGAGAGAGAGAGAGAGGCGGGGGGGGGGGGGGGGGGGGGGAGGGAGGAGAGACGACAGTACAGTGAACGAGAAAGATGTTCCGACAGGGAAGAATTTCATAATCTCTTAATTGCACATACCACGAAAGTACCACTCATTTACATTTATATATCGCGTGCCGATGGTTCGGTGCGTCTGGGATAGTTGAGCTTTATTTTTCTTGCCGCATTTCTGCAAAAGAATTTCTGCGCGCGCGTGCGCGCGCTTTCCCGCATCGGCGTCGTGGTTTTTTCTTGGTTGCGAAATTATCCGCCGAGGGTATTAAACGTCCTCGATGTTCGAGGCAGAGCACGCATCTGCACCTGCACATGAAATTCGCTATTGCAATTACGGAGGTCAACGCCTCGGTCGTAAACGTTCGTGTCGGATGATTCGAGAATTCGCAGCTCATAATCGCCGATGGGGAACTTCGAACGGAAATGAAGCTTCGCGACTCGCCGAGCTTTTCAACTGCTCAATATGGCAATTTGCTCCTGGCTTGTAGATATAGGAAGTATACCAGAGCTATCGTAGTCGCTTCCTTTCAGTTATGGATTCCTAAAAATGCGATATCGATAGCCTCCATAGCAAGCATTGCAGATAAAATCGAAAACGATATTGGAAACTTTTAACTTTAACTCACATAAACTAACTCACGTTAACTTTTTACTTGCCATAACATTAATTGAATTCCCAGCCAAACGTTCATGGATTAAATATTTTACTTTTGCAACAATGATCATAAAACTTAAGCATCGATATTTAAATATTCCTTCTATTTAATTAGAATTAAAAAATACACACGCATATCAAATTTTATAAAGATTTTTAGGATTGGTTATTTCCCTAAATTAATCGTAAGGTAAAACCTTTCTTTACGCAAATAGATAGATTATTCCGAAAAATAAAAATGTAATTACAGGGATAACAAAATTGCTGTTACAAATAATATCAAATGTATAACAAGGACTCATTTTAGCAAATTAATACAATTTTTTTATTTGTCATGAATACGAGTATATAAATTCAACTCGCAAAAATCAATCTAGTGTATTAGCATTAGTTAATTTCTAAAAAATGGAACATTTGATTGAAGTTGATGAAATTCGCATAGATTTAACAAATCCGACACAGTATAATTCTTTCGTTTGTTAATCGAATCTTCCATTTTTATTTTATCATTCTAAATTGTATCACTTAATTTAAAGATTCAAAAATGTATATACTGATATTGTTTTTTTACTAGATAATATACATATAATAATGTGATAAGCATAATTTCAATCATTAGACACATCACTTCATACATTCGTAATATTCGTCTGACTTTTATTTACTGCGTAAATTATGACGCAGGTTAAAAGGATCTCTCATAACTCTTCCTGACTAAAGTCACGTATAATCTTTAGCCTTCCGAATGCACCGGACGCGCATTGGCAATGGCGTCCTCTTTCGTGGGAGAAGTCATTCAACCCGAGGTTCAACCGACAATTATCTCAACGACTCGTTTCGTCTGTCATTGTATCCGTACTCGAGCATAATGCAGACGAGCCGCGACAAAAACGAGTTTCGCCCGCCGTCGCACGCAGAAGTGAAAAAAAGACTGGCATATGCCGACCGCATATAAACGGAAATAATCGTTTCACCGAATTGTACAAACAACACGCAAATTTACTCTTGCACTGGAATCCTTTTCAAATTGGCATTTTCGGTTTTTTTTTTTCGTTTTTAATACGCATACGATAGCCTGTGTTTCGTGTTTCGTGCTTGTTTGAAAATATAAATTATATACTCATGTATGGTAGTACACAGTGAAAAAATTTATGTTAAATTTAACACATTTCACATGTTCCAAACGGTCCATCCAAATTTTTGTGTTGCTTTAACATAAGATGAATATGTTAGAAAGCAACACAAGTACTACGTAAAAAATTAATACGAGAAGCGTAATACTTTGATATATTTTAAAAACAAATTTTATGTTAAATTAACACACTTATAATGTTAGATTTAACTGAAATTAGATGCTATTTTTACATTTTTAGTTTAAGCAAACATATATGTAGATTTAACAGATATTTATTGCTACAAAGAGAAAATAATACAAAATATCTGTATCTTTT